TCTACCTCTCTATCCATTTGTTTATCATCCATCCAGCAATCTGGCCACCCCTCTACCCATCTGTCTATCTCTTATCTGTCTGTCTGTCTGTATAGCTGTCATCACAGAGAATTCTAGTTTATGGTTTATTTTTCCTTTCGATTGTACCTAAGGTAGAATCTTTAAAGACCAGGATCTCATGTAGCTCAGGCTGGCTTCAAGCTCACTATGTACCAAGGATGATCTTGAACTCTTGACCCTCCTATAGCCTCCTCCTAATTCCTGGGGTCACAAGCATGTGCCACCACATCAGTTTTTTTTGTGGTGCTGAGGATCAAACTCAGGGCTCCATGTATACAAGGCAAGCACTTTACCCACTGAACCACATCCCCAGCCCCGTCTATTCTTTTTGAGAATGCCGTTTCTCTATATTTTTACCAACCAACTCTATTACTCCTGTTTTTCTGTTCTTTCTCTTCATCTCACTACACAGCCTCACTGTGCTAGTTGTTTTAGTTTGGTTTGGTTTTGTCAACTTGACACAAACCTAGGCATATCTGGGAAGAGGGATTGTTAATGGAGAAAATGCTTCTATCAGCAAGTCTGTGGGGCATTTTCAGGATTGGTGATCAATATGTGAGGACACAGTTCACTTGGGGTGGAACCCCTGAGTAGTAGGTTGTGGGTTGTCCAGGGAAGCAGGGTGAGCAAGCCAGTAAGGAGCACTCCTCTATGGCTTCTGCTTCAGTTCCTGCCTCTAGATTTCTGCCTTGAGTTCCTGCCCTGACTTCCCTAGTTCCCTGGAAGTGTAAGATGAAATACACCCTTTCCTCCCCCAGTTGCTTGCTTTTGGTCATGGTCTTTGTCACAGTAGTGGAGACCTATCTGAGACACCTCTGCAGGCACCGAGTGAGTTCCTTAACCTACTTTTTCTTTTATTCCCTGCACTTAGAAGAGTGGTTGAGAGTGTAAGATTTTGTGTTTGTATCTTGACTCTGGTCTTGGGTTTGCCAAAGGTACTAAACATTGGTCCCATGAGACAGGCAGTATGATTTCCATTCGTTACTTCAGACCCCAGTCTTACAGAGGTGGAGTTTTTGTCTGAGGCTATATGGGTGGTGAGCTGTGGAGTAGGACTGGCCAACATAGAGTCCTCACTGCCTGTCTCCTAGGAATACCCTTGGCCCCCTCAAAGCCTGCTGCAGTCCAGTCCAGGTATCTACAGCCTGAGCCACCCGTCTTTAGTCTTCCTGGACTATGCGACTCTGGGAGCTTGGTATTTCAAGTCCACAAACTGCAACAGGAGCTTTCTAGAAATGAGGAATCTCGGGTCGCACCCAGGCCTGCTGAGATAGGACCTGCATTCTGAAAAATCTGTAGGTTCATTAAAATTGGAGAAGCCTTTGGATGGAGCACATCATTAGCAAAATTAATTTATCTTGCTTTCCTAATGATGTTCTGGAGTCTATGTTGAAAGCCATAGCTCAAGAGTTTGGGGTGTGCCCCCCCCCCAAGTGGCATGTGGTACTGCATAGACATATAGGAGTATTTGCAAATTACAAAGCCTGTAACTCCTGGGTTCCTATCCTCCTTTTATCCCTCTATGTGTGTCTTACATGTTTATATGTATGCACCTGGGGATCTGTGCGTGTAGAGATGTGTGCACATGTGGAGGACAGAGGATAACCTCAGGCATCCTTCTTCAGGCACTGTCCACCTGTACTTTTCAGACAGAGTCTCTCGTTGGTCTGGAACTTACCAAGTAGGCTAGACCGGCTGACCAAGGAGCCCAGGAAGCCCGTCTCCACTCCCTCCCCCAGCACTGAGATTACAAGTTCATGCCAACACACCCGACTTTCCCTATGTGGGTCCTTGTGCTTGTAAGGCAAGCACATCGTTGACTAGCCTATCTCCTGAGCTTCCCTCGTCCCTTTTAAGCACGCACATCTCACAACCCAGAGGAAGGAACTGATGCACCTGTTATTAATGCCCAGTGCTGCAAGTCTGCTAAATTGGTCTAGAGAAAGTCAGAGTAATGGAGCCAAGACTAATGGAGGAAGGCACCACTTAAAACAGCATACCAGCCAGAAAAGGGCAACGAATCTGACCCAAGCAAGGCAGGTCTAGGCTATGGAGACGCTCTTTAGCTATGGAGCTTCTGTGAACCCCAGGCTCCTGATTCACACTGCAGGCTACCTCTATCAGGTCCCGTGAGATTAACGCTATGATCACTCGGTCCCATGTCCTCTGTACTTTGGGGGCTCACTAAGCCTATTCCGAACTCTTCTGTTTCCTTTTCCAGTCCCATGAGGGGTGCATCGGTGCAGACAGCAGTGTGGTGTGTCCTGCCCCCTTGTAGGGCAAGGCACATAGACTGCCACAGTGGACCTGAGCAGTTATCCCCAGCTAGGAGAGTGCTGAGGGGGCGGGGCTCAGAAGGACTCTGGACCTAGAGGGCCTCTACAGTCTTGCAAGAAGAGAGAAAGGTGTGAGAAGAGGAGCAGTTTCATTTTCTCAGACGGATCATGTGGAGGTCATTTGATAGCTGTGGAGTATGCTTTCAACGGTCGCCATGACATTGCATTCCAGGGAGATAAACTCTCAGGGTGCGGTTGCCTAAGGGACTGAGGCATACATCTGCCATGGGCAGGCTCCAGGCAGTGAAAACTGAGGCTGAGAAGGCATGGGGTTCAGAGGTGAGCAGCCTACCGTTTGCTCTCCCTGCTAAGCCAGAAAGGGAACTGGACCTCCCATAAGGAAGGTGGGAGACAAGAGGTGGGTTTCTTGAACACAGAGGGCAGAGCTGGGAAAGGGCCTTCAGAAGCACAGAAGTGTCCTGCCATGGAGAATACAACGCTATAGGAAAGTGTGGTTGCCATGGCAAAGTGAGTTGAGCATCCCTCTGCTCTGCTAAGTCTGTTAGCACCACTGGACCATACTTCCTTTTCTTCTTTTCCTATTCCCATCCCAACCCCTACTTCCCCCCCCCAGGAACTTTGGGGCCAGGAGAGATAACACACCACAAAAAGTGGCATTTCTTGGGGGGAGGGGTCACATTGTTCTTTTTGTTTGTTTTTTTCGAGACAGGGTTTCTCTGTGTAGTTTTGAAGCCTGTCCTGGATCTCGCTCAGTAGACCAGGCTGGCCTCGAACTCACAGAGATCCGCCTGCCTCTGCCTCCCAGGTGCTGGGATTAAAGGTGTGCACCACCACCGCCTGGCCACATTGTTCTTATCAAGTTTCCTCAGGGTTCTCCTAGGTCTCTTCTAAGACACTGGGTCAGAAGCTCTGCATGTGGGTTCAAGAACTCGGCGTATCTAATAAGCTTCCCAGTGACTCTTTTGCACCTAAGACAGAGAAGGGGGTGGGCAGAGAGACAGAGACAGAGAGAAAGTGATAGATAGGAACAAAGAAACACCAAAAGAGAAGCAGACACACATACACTAAGACAGAGACAGAGAGAGAGACAGAGACAGAGAGAGAGAGAGAGACAGAGAGAGAGACAGAGAGAGACAGAGAGAGACAGAGAGAGAGATTTTGCAGTCTCCCAGGCCTTTCTCTGAGTCAGTAACAAAGCAGAATGTGACAGCTCTCGGTCGTCCTTTCCCAGTGACCATCTGTATGGACCCTGGGCTCATGAAGCCTCAGACTCCAGGAGTGGCTGACAGATACAGATAGGAAGGAGCTGGCCAAGCAGTCAGAAGACCTTAGTGTTCATCTTGGTTTTCCACCTTGGGCCAAAGGAAGAAGGGAGGGCCCCATGTCTTCCCTGTGCCCCATCACTGGGGTGTCATGGTACCCACTTCCTGTGCCTGATGGGAGGCTGAGTTGGGAAGCTGCTTAGAACCTGGGGTGTTGTGGTACCCACTTCCTGTGATTGATGGGAGGCTGAGTTGGGAAGCTGCTTGGAACCTGGGGTGTTGTGGTACCCACTTCCTGTGCCTGATGGGAGGCTGAGTTGGGAAGCTGCTTGGAACCTGGGGTGTTGTGGTACCCATTTCCTGTGCCTGATGGGAGGCTGAGTTGGGAAGCTGCTTGGAACCTGCAGGCACAGCGTGAGGAGATGTTAATGTCACCTTTGCTGTGTCTCTCCAGCTTTGACCCAGATGGTCTTTAGAAGGAGGCCTGAGTTGTGAGGTGTTATGCCCCATGGCATGATGGTCTGCACCGTGTTCCAGACATTGGCCCACACCGCACGGCTTTCCCACTTGAACTTGATCGCGATCAACTCGCCGATGTCTTTGTCCAGTGTGATGAGGAGGGAGTAGGTTTTATTGCTGGTAATTCTTTCGCCCCTTGAAAATATACAAAGGAAACCAGTTAACTGAGTTTAGCTGTAGCAGCCAAGTGACACTGAGGTACACTTAGGATACCGAAGTGACTTTGGGGTATTTCTGTTGCATTTCCAAAATCAGTGTTCAATAGACAATATTGGCAATAGGTACGACGGGTTAAAGAGGGTTTCCCTGACAATAAAATCGGGAAACCATATAGTATTCCATATTAATCACATCAAAAAGGGTCTGAGATAGTTTGCTGTCATGACTAGAGTTGACATCTTTTGGCTTGGTGGAGTTGGGCGATGGAGCTGGACTGTCTCTGTGGCTGACACACAGACACCCTTTACCACGCTTTTCCGCCCTTTCTTAGTATAAAAAGGGCTCTCTCAGTATAAACGGAACCATCCATTAAAGCAACACAGCCTAACAGGAGAGGAAACGCGCACATGCGTGCATGCGTGCGTGCGTGCGTGCGTGCGTGCGTGCGTGCGTGCGTGCGTGAGTGCGTGCGTGTACACACACACAGGAAAGGATTCATTGACTCGCAGCAAGATTGAAGCACTACCTGGAGGCATTGTCCCTGCCTTTGCTTACTGGTCCCCAAGACCATACGGTTCCCGTCACTGAGAGAGGCCGGTTCCATGCCCTTCCTATGATCCAGAACAATCTCTCAGGAGAAATTATTGACAATACAGAGGTAACACTGGGTCGACCCAGTGAAACAAGTTGGATGGAGAGTTCCCTGGCATGGCTCATCTCAGCTCCTTCTGCCGTGTGCTATAAAGATGGCTGGCGTGGGTATCTACCCAGTCCCTAGGCTGTGAGCATCCACCCTAAGGGCAAAACCCTCAGCATACCCTCCCAGCAGAACACTGCAATGTAAGTATTTGGTGAGTGTCTGAATCAGTGTCATGGTCAGGGACCCAAAGCTGGGGACAATCTTTCAGAAGCTAAGAGCTGTTCCTGAAAGGATACTCAGCTCATGTCACTCCCTGAGGGGATCAACAGGGAGGGCTGAGATGCCAGAAAAGGTCATGGTCATTATCTGGCTGGGAAAGCGGGGGAGTCTGAGTGAGGCATTGTGAGGCTGCTGGTGTGAGCAGGTATGTCGCGGGTGGGGTGGGGGTTGGGCTGGCACTCCCTGCTGACTGAGCTTGCACACCTGTGTGTGACAAAGGGAATGCTTCCCGTTTTGTTTCTGGGCATGTTCTCCTGAGCTCACTGGAAAGGTGTTTGGGGGTCCTTGGGAGGACCCACAACCCACCCACCCTCACAGCTTCTCCCCGACCCGGGTCTTGTCTGCATTGCACACCTGAGTGGCAATGGCCTCATCTCTTTCACAGATGGTGCTCAGGGACCTTCCCCTGAGCTGGGGGAGCCTGGGATACGGTGTGAGAGACAAGACCCGGTAGGTGTCTCACTGAGCGGCATGTCTGGGGCAGCCACAGAGGGGCGTACCCGTTGAGAAGCGCCAGTACCACAGGTGGGGCCACCCTGGGACTCACAGTGTGATGGGAATCCTCTTCATCTCTTCCTTTGCTCCCAGAAGTGACATGGTAAAAGTGGGCTCTGCTGGCTTCTCAATTTGGTTGATGAACTGGATCATGAACTGGTAATGATAAACTAGAGGTAGAGGAGGGATGAGAGGAGGAGCAGAGATTAAGTAGGACTTTTTTTCCCCCCTAAGAATGACCTTGAATTTCCTTTAAAATTTTTTTTTAAATTTATTTATATTTTATGTATGAGTACTTTGCATAGGTAGGTACCTGCATGCCAGAAGAGGACATCAGATCCTGTTTTAGATGGTTGTGAGCCACCCTGGGGTTGCTGGGTACTGAGCTCAGGACCTCTAGAAGAGCTCTTAACCGCTGAGCCATCTCTCCAGCCCTGACCTTGAACTTCTTATTCTTCTGCTTCCCCTCCCTGAGTGCTAGGATCACAGGCATGCGCCACCACACCTGGTTTATTCAATGCTGTACATGCTAGGCAAATTCTCTACCAACTACGTACATGTTTTAAATGAAGCAGGATCTTGTGTAACCCAGGATGGACTCAGACTCACAATCCTCCTGCCTCACTGTCCTCAGTATTGGGGTTATAGGCAAACATTCCCCTGTCCAACTATTTATATAGGAATTACAAATTTAAACTCCTCTACTTTTTTAAATTTTAAAAATGCAGAGGAGAAAGTTTAAATGGACAGGTACCAAAATGTTAGCAATGTTTGTCTTTCCACCCTGGGACTATGAATGCTATTAGTTTTTTTCCTTTTCCTCTCTAGGCAGCCTGAATATGACCCAGAACTCAGACTGTATTTATAATAGTAATGATGGCGGCTGGGGATATATAGCTCTGTAGGAGACCTAGCATGTGGGAGGCCTTGGGTTCCTTCCCTGGCACCACAAAAATAAACGAGATCGGATTGTCTGTCGAAAGGTATCGGAACTGGGAACTCGGGAGATGGCGCAGTCAGTGAACCTCACAAGTGTTAGGACCTGCGTTAAATCTCCACATACAAAGCCAAGTGTGGCGTACTTGCTTGTAATCCCGGCTGTTGGGAGATTGGAGGCAAGCACAGAGGGTCCCTGGAGCTTGCTAGCCAGCTGGCCTGACGACTTGGTAAAGCTCCAGGACAATAAGAGACCTTGTCTCAAAAAGATGGACTGCCCCTGAGGACTGACACCCAAGGTTGTCCTCTGACCTCAGGACTCACGGCCATTTCCCACTGTTGTTCTCCTGACCCTAATGACCACACATCCGTGTTCTAGGCAGTTCCTTGCATCCAAGTTCTGCAGGTCACGTGAGCCCACTTTCCCATGGGAGGGGGTGACTCTGGCTCTAGATCTCTCAGACTGTCTTACCAGCTATCCAGTGTGCTCTTCTGAAGGATTCTGGGAGGAAGCCTTTTCTCTTGTCTACCGTCTTAACACAGTCATACCCTGTACTTATCAGTGCTCAGAGCCTCAGGCTGGACGCCCTGACAACTTTACAAAAGGCTGGGGGTGAAAAATAAGACAAGGGCTACTTGGCCAAGGCCAAGTCTTAAACACTTGGGCGGTAGCTGTGGGAGGAAGGGCCCTGGCTTCTCATCCCAGAGGCTTTTGGGTCGGCCTTACACTATTTGGTGGTTGTCAGGGAAACCCTGTACCGAGTGGGCGGTGCTGTAAATTGAACCCAGGCGGAAAGGAAAGATCCTACCTAGGACACAGGCTGCAAGCACTAGGGTAGGAGCCCTGGAATGTGGACAAATACAAGAGGCAGGGGGCTGGCCTCCTGGGCTGCTCCAAGCAAGAGGTGGGTGTATTCCTGAGCACTTATGGAATACCCAGAGCCATGGATTTTCTATTCGGCCTTCCATTATAGGGGGTACTTGGCGCTGGTCACACGTTCGGCCCCATGGTGTTGGGGTGAATGAGCAGAACTATGGCTGTTCCACCAGGTGCCTTGCAGATATTATCTCATTTAACTCTCACAACAACCGATACCATTATTATTTCATTTTACAGAGGAATGTGCAGCACACAGAGGTTCGGCGACTTTCTGAGGCTCACACCGCTGCTGGCAGATAGCATCACAGAGATGTAAGTCCAGGCAGCCCAGTTCTGGCAGCTGAACTTCTAAATGTTGATACCCTGGGACCAATGGCTCCCATATCAATAGCTCCTGTATATCCCAAGGAAAAAAAGTTGAAATGTAAAAAGAGATTTATATTAGAAAAAAAGAGTCAAAAATAATTATTAATATTTATTAATAATTATTATATTTAATAATTATTATATTATTTTTATATTAATAGTTATTATATTATTTATTAATAATATTTATTAATAATTATTTAATAATAAATCAGAGCTGGGCATGGTGGTATATGCCTTTAATCCCAGCACTTGGGAGGCAGAGGCAGGAGGATCTCTGTGAGTATGAGGTCAGCCAGGACTACATAGACAGACCTTTTCTCAAAAATCCAAATAAATTAAATAAGTAAGTAAATAAGCAAGTAGGAACCAGGAACACCTTGATTAGTCAATACTGGTAAAATGATGACTTGTTTCTGAGATGGGATTTTGTTATGTTAGCCAGGCTAGTTTGGGATTCTTGGGCTCAAGCCTCCTGAGGAGCTGGGAAGACAAGTGCATGCTGCTGGGCCAGCTAGTAGTTACAGTCTTGGTAACTGCCGCGTCCTGAATCACAGAGGCTGAGCTTCTCATGCCATGGCCTTAATTTTTGTCACATGGTTTCTACAGTGTGGACTTTATCTTCCTTGTGATGGCATCTTCTGAAGGAGGAAACTGAGGCTTCTAGGAAGCAAAGTGCATTGCTCACCTTCTTGTGACTAAGGCCTGAAGCTGGACAGTTGACTTGGAGATCATGTGCCCAGCCATGTGATTTACTCTTAGAAGCCATGAAAAGAGATTGTTTTCAAGATCCAGAGAGATGGCTGGAGATATGTATGACTCAGCGGTTAAGAGCATGTACTGCTCTTGCAGAGGACCCAGGTTTGAGTGTGAGCACTCACAACGGCTTACAAGGGATCCTGCACCCTCTTCTGACCTCTGTGAGCACCTGCACTCATAAGCACATACCCCCCAACACACACGTAATTTAAAAATAAAATAAATATGTTAAAGATATTTTCCCAAGTAATTTCAACTTGATGAAAGAAATGAAAAGGAAAACAACAACAAAAGTTCTAACCACAGTACATGGAATTGTCCATGGCATATGAGGGCAAACTCTATACAAACGGAGGCATGGAAGTCCACACATTCCCAGAAGCCACAGGAGTCTGCATATTGCCAGAACTTTTAACCACTTCTCCTAGAGAAGAAGTCAGGGTTGGTGTTTTTCTCTAAGATCCACACCTCCTCCAGTGAGTGTTTTAATTATTCTCTTATTGGGAAAGGAGCTTTTCCAAATGTTTAAAAAGCAATCAAGAGCAGAAGCAGCTGTGGTGCCCTGGTCTTAAAGGAGCTGGCACTTAGGCCATCTCTCCAGAGACCTGCCATTCTCAGCCATGTCTGGTGGGCTTCAGTACGCATATCCTGGCTCTCTGAGCTCAATCTTAGAGGAGAGAATCTTGTCATTTCTGCAATGGCCACAGTGAGGACAAAACTCATTAGACACCCATGGAGTACATAGTGGGATCTTGGTTAAAGAGCAATAAACAGACACATTGCATTAAAGGCCCCCCCACCACACTGTAATGAGGAATAATAATCAAGTACCTTTGCTACGGCACATCAAGCTACACATTAATATACTAAATGTTTTACCTACCTATCCCCTCGTTCCTTGGTTCTCTTTTTCAATTTTGGTTTTCTGAGAGGGTCTCAAGTAGCCCAAGCTGGTTTGCACTTGTTTTGTGACAGAGGCTGGCCATGAGCTGCTTGCTGCTCCTCCGGCCTCTACCTTCCAAGTACAGAAGGTGTGTACCACCACATCAAGTTTATGCAGTGCAGGGGATTGAACCCAGAGTTTCATGCATGCTAGGCAAGCTCTCTACCAACTCAGCCACATCCTCACCCCTCATTTTTTGGTTCTCTTAGTGAAATTAAATAATGGCAACATGCTGGCTTTCTTTGCTGTGGGTACCCCTGGGGTCCCATCCACTCTCTGCCCTTCTCTGCCTACCTCTGAATCTGGGATGTGACTTTGGCTGTATCGGCATGCTGTCTTGCCAGTTGGCTTTTGGGCAGGTTTGGGCCCTGGGGAGGTGCCAAGGGGAGAAGCCAGGGACCTGCCTCTGATCCTGTGTGCCTTGGAGCTGACTCTGCGGCAGCTGCACCTCCACCATCAGCATCAGCCTCTCCTCCCAGCTCTTTCAGGATCTCCCAGGGTCTGTTCTTTCCTCTGCTCACCCCCTTCTGATGTCAAGTTCAGGGGTTGCCACAGTCCTTGCCAATTTCCTTTCATTCCCTCACCTCTACAGAGAGTTCTACTTGCCTTCTTCCACAGACCCAGGCCAGACAGTGGGGTCCTGTTTCTCAGCTGAACCCTACACTGATGGGTTCTGATGATCCTGATGCATTTCAGACACGGGCACCAGGGATTAGAGATCTACAGTTATCTAGATATCGAAAAGTGGGACAGGACAGGCAGTGGTGGCGCACGCCTTTAATCCCAGCACTTGGGAGGCAGAGGCAGGCGGATCTCTGCGAGTTGGAGGCCAGCCTGGGCTACAGAGTGAGTTCCAGGAAAGGCACCAAAACTACACAGAGAAACCCTGTCTCTAAAAACCAAAATAAATAAATAAATAAATAAATAAATGGAGAAAAGTGGGACAGAACTCCAAACCTGCTTGCGACCCTTCTCATGTCACCTAAAGTTGGTGTCCTACAAGTGGTGTGTGCCCTTTGAAATCAATGGCAAATGCTTGACCCTGAAGTAACCCAGGGCAAAGGGTTTGTGCCACCCGGTAGCATCCATCATGGACCGAACCTACAGCAGAGGCCTCCTTCCTGTCTCCTGAAGGTCCAGCCATGACCAGGGAGGGGAGAGTTTCTTGTCCCTAAATTGGATATGTGCTTTTTCTCGCCTCTTTTCCTAAGTGCTCTGTGGGAGGAGACAGATTTCCACATCCCAGAGGCTGCAGTTTGGGGATCCTGGGGGCAGTGCTGTTAGGGCTGATCATCAAGGCCCCTGGAGCTCACACAGCCTACGAGGGAGGGCTGCCTTGACACCAGGAGGGAAGAAGGCATGCAAAGGCAGAGAGCCAGGTGTGGTGGCACACAGCTGGAATTCCAGGACTCGGAAAGACGAGGCACGAGGGCCACCACAAGTTTGAGGCCAGCTCGGGCTACATAGTGAGGTCCTATCTTAAAAATCCAAAACAGCTAAGTTAAAATAAGACAATGAAATGATAACAAAAGGCGTGTGTGAAATGAGGCTGAGTGAGCCGTTCCCCGGGGTGCTCACAGCAGACCTGGCTGAGGGGCCCCATCTCCTCCATGATGTTGGGGTCACCCATATTCAGAGAGTGTTCCTGCAGACCCCGCATCTGCAGTGGGACTCTGCACTGTCACTGTAGCCACCTTTTTGGGGAAATCTTGAAGAAAAATGAATTCAACATGAAAAAAGCCTTTTAGGTGTGGATATGGCTCAGCAGGGAGAAGGCCCATCTGGCATGTGCAAGACTCTGGGTCCAGTCCCTGACCCAAACCTGATTACTGGTTCTTAGTTGAACGTGTGTGAGCATTTTTCTTAGATGCTCATAGAATCACGAAGATGAAGGGAAGCATGACTGCTTTGCTTGCTGACCTTATGATGTGTTTAATTGGGTTGCTAATAAATGATTTGGCCAAAAAAAAAAAAATCACCCTGTGACTTCAAAGAGTCCAGATAAGCCTGTGTTCTGACACAGAAACAATTTCACATCTTGTAGATAAAAGGCCTGAAGGAGTCTGCTGACCTGGAATGATGAGGTGACTCCTTCCAGAGCAGAAACCTGGGGTGAGTCCACACCATGGAAAATGCTGGATTCTCATTCATTGTGGACTCTATGAGTGCTATTTATTAAAACAAACAAACCCCAAATTTTTCTCCTCGCAGTGGCCATGGTGAACACAAGCTGTAGAATTTGTGAAAAGAAATGTTTTGTTTCCTCTCTTTTTTCCCTCTGTGAACTGTTACTGGGTCTGGAGGTCTTAGGCTCCCTCGGCAAGCATCACAAAAGGCTTTGCTCCCCTGGGTGTGGGTTTTACCTCACTGAGATGAAGGAATGAGCTCTCTGGTGCTTTCCTGAAGTGCCAGGACTCTCCCCATACTTCAGGGAAGCTGAAGGTCACAGGACTAAGGGCCCAAGGATGATGTGGTTCTGAGTGCTGAGGCAGGGGACAGCCCAGAGCAGGGCCAGGGAAGGGAGATGGGGAGAGGGACTTTGTAAGTACGTGTATGTGTTTACTCTAGCAGGTATATCTGGCTTCACTTAGGGTCCCATTGCCTGATGCCCAGATGCCATAAGACTGGCTACCTACCCCTTCTGTGGGGAGCTTTTTAGTGTGTTGTTGACTGCCTGAGAATGGAGATAGGGAAATACATAAGAATGCTTGTGTGTCTGTGTATACATTTGTATATGGTGCATCGGATTATATGTATATATGTATGTATGTCCTTGTGTATCTGCATGGATCTATTCACATGCATGTGTATACATGTATCTGAATGTATGTAAGTAAATGTGTGTATGCATGTGTATATGTGTGCATATGCATGTATGCACTTGTATATATGTATGTATATGGTATATTTGTGTGTGCTTGTATATGCATGTGTATGAATGTCTCTCTGCATCTGTGTACATGTGTATATTTGTATGTATATGTATATTTGTGTGTATATATATGTAAATGTATGCATGGCTGTATTCATGTGTAAATGCATGTACATGCATATTCATACATGTATATATGTGCATATGTATACATGTGTATGTAAATGTGTCTATGCATGTATATAAGTTTATTCATGTGTATGTGTGTATATATATGTGTAGGTATGTATAAGCATGTATGTGTGTTTATGTGTATATGCTTGTGAATAAGTATGTATATACGTGTGTGTGTGTGTGTGCCTGTGTGTGTGTTTGTGTGTGTGTGTGCACACACACAGAATATAATGCTGGTTGGCCTCCTGTTTTCAGTCCCTTGTGCTGTGGGTCTTCATTGTGTGGTAGTGACAGTGGTCCACATCTGGAAGGCAAGGGCCAGAGTTTGGTTCCCTTTGCCACCAACACCCTGTGCCCTCTGTAACTCGACTGCCTGCCCTGCCTTTGAGATGGAACACTCTCACAGCACCTGGAGGTGACGGGTGTCCTTGCCTTCTAGAAGGTGCCAATCCATGTCCCTTTTGCTCGCTCTCTGCGGGACTGGCCAGGCAGGTGAGGTCTGACAGGAAGACTCATTTTAGTGGCTCATCTCCACACTTGGTGACACTCCTTACACTGTGGCTAAAACATCAACATTCCTGGTGGTTATCTCAAGTTTCTCACTGTTTCTTCTGGAACTCTCCCTGGAATACAGTGAAACCTCCCAAAGAATTAGCTGAGAAAAGCCAAAGAGAGACAGATCCCTCGAATGGCAGTTTGTCTGGTCACCTAGAGGAGGTCCCGGGGAATGGAGAGGCAGGGAGGAGGCCTTTAGTGGAATACGTCAGGACTGTGAGGTCACTCTGGGTCTGGGCCAGACACTTTCGAGACTACTAGAGGTGAGAGGAGGGAGAACTAGCCAGGCTAGCTACAACTAAATATGGTGCTTACCACTCAAGTCCTGTGACCTCTCAGACCCTGAAGTGCCTACAGGAACTCTGAACGCAACACATCCCTACCTTACAGCATTCCCAGCCTGTCTCTGTCTCCCCTCCCCGCTTTCTGTTACTCCCGTAATAAGCACAGCATGCTGCCAGGCAGAGTACCTCCAGCTCGCCCTCCACCCGGCTACCTCATCTGAGTGTTCAGAGGGTGACACCAACCCAGCCCATAGCTAAGCAGGACTCAATACAGATTCCTTCCTACCCTTTAAAAACAGCCTCCCGACTGGAAACATTTCCTCCCCACTGCCTGAGGGCAGGAGCGGCTGATGAATTGCCTGGATCCACTGGGTGGCCATTTCCTGATTGTCTTCCGCCAAAGC